CAATAATGGGTATTTATCTACAATAGATTTTTTAACAAAGTATTTTCCCATAAACAAGTGGTTTATATGGTACCTAACACAATTTTTCGATAAAAATACTAGTTTATCTAAAAATTCATTTTCCTATTCACCTAATAATAAATATTTTAATCAATTAAGTAACATGATTTGACATCAATATATAGGCTACACATGTATTTATATCACTTGTCAAATATGAAATTGAACGAAGTATTGTTTGAATCTCATGTAGAAATCCTTGAAATTGGGTTCGGAAGAACTTCATTAATGCAATCCAATTTCCAAAAAAAAATCATCCAAAGAGGCTACGACATAAAACTTTGTGCAACTCTGAATATTCTCTTTGTTTTTATATATTAGTATTAAAATACTATTCTTCAATTCATTTAATATATTTTTAATTAAAATATTATTAAATAATTTAATTAACCAAGATATCTTAACGAATATTCCCTTTGTTTTTATATATTAGTATTAAAATATTATTCCTCTATTCATTTAATATGTTCTTAATAATAATATTATTAAATAATTTAATTAACCAAGATATCTTATCTTCCAATCCTATTTTTTGAGGTTAGTTGTTGATGATACTTAGAGCAATTCTTAAGTATGAGCTCGGGAGCAGATATCAGACGCACAGAGTTCATAAAATCAGAGTAAAGCCCAGTCCAATCGAAGCAGCAGCGGAAGTAATAAATAGATAGTTATTTGTCAACGGAAACCTTAGAGGCAGCAAAGAGTCATAATCGAAACATAAAACTCTCATCCATGAAAGATCTCCTTCTAAGATCAAGAAGGATTTCTTGGATAAATGGCAAAAATCTCGGGGCGGATCCTGCAGAATTAGGAAAAGTCCTATAAATACTATGTAACGCCCCCAACAGAGGGGCAGAACCCTAGTATCACATCTTACATTCTGTAAACTTTTTAGCATAGTAAATAGTGAAGGAAGGAGCAAAAATCTCCATTGAATAGTGGATTAGCCGAGCTCCTGAGCTGGTGAACCATTATATTTCTACTGTGTTAATTCTTCAACTCCCCAACCATTCTCAGTATCAGTCCCTCGAGTCTAGTAGCTCAAATCCCAACAATTCCAATATTGTTTCTTTCATTTACTCGTCATCACAAAATTGTATCACGTTGAAATACACCATCAATTTGGAGCCGTCTGTGGGAAACGATTGTTCCTGTTATAAATAAACTGATATTTCAGTGACTGATGATATCAACTCAAAATATGAGTCGAAGTCAAACAAATTCACCACGGATGCAAGATCAACAAGAAGCTACTAATAGCAGACAACCTGAGAACATCCAAGAGACCAATCCACCCGTGGGGGGTCTTCCCATGAAAAACAAGAAGAAGGTCCTTCGCCTCGTCAATCAACGCTTGTTGAAACAAAACGAAGAACTCTTAAAGCTCTTACAACGCCCACAAGAGGCGCGGCAGGCTCAAGAAGGCCAGAACAACCCACCACCTAGGGAGCAACCACACCTCGACCCCCCTCAGAGAAGTCAATGAAGAAGAGGAAAACAGTCAAACTATGGGGCCAGAACCTTGCATACCCCCCAGGAATGGACACAACGAACAAGTACAAAGTCAAAATGACGGGGGCGAGAGGAACGATTTTTTCCCTATCAACAAGAAAGAAGAGAACGGTACTGAGAGCAGCGCTTCTAGGATATCCAGCAAGAACTTAGCCACATGAAGGAAGCCGTGAGAGGCAAGGCTCTAGTTACGATGGATGCCTTGGTACAACAGATTGAATCTCCGTTCACCACTGGCGTGCAGAGCCTTGGAGCTCACGATGAACTCGTTAATTCATAAAAAGAGCCCTGGAGCTCACGATGAACTCGTTAGTTCATAAAAAGAGCCCTGAAGCTCACGAGGAACTCGTTAGTTCATAGGAAGAGCCCGAGAGCTCACGATGAACTCGTTAGTTCATAAAAAAAGCCCTGGAGTTCACGATGAACTCGTTAATTCATAACAAGAGCTCAGAAGTTCACGATGAACTCGTTAATTCATAAAAAGAGTCCTGGAGCTCACGATGAACTCGTTAGTTCATAAAAAGAGCTCGAGAGCTCACGACGAACTCATTAGTTTATAAAAAGAGCCCCTAGAGCTCACGATGAACTCGTTAATTCATAAAAAGAGTCTTGGAGCTCACGATGAACTCGTTAATTCATAAAAAGACCTCGGGATCTCACGACGAACTCATTAGTTCATAATGAGAGTGTTAGAGCTCACGATAAACTCGTTAGTTCATAAAAAGAGCCCTAGAGCTCATAGTCCGTAATAAGAGTCTTGGAGCTCACGATGAATTCGTTAGTTCATAAAAAGATCCCTGGAGCTCACGATGAACTCGTTCGTTCGTAATAAGAGCCCGGGAGCTCACGACAAGCTCATTAGTCTGTAATAAGAGCTTTAGAGCTCACAATGAACTCGTTAGTTCATAAAAAGAGCCCGAAAGTTCACAACGAACTCATTAGTCCATAATAAGAGCTTTAGAGCTCACGATGAACTCGTTAGTTCATAAAAAGAGCTTGGAATCTCACGACGAACTCATTAGTCCGTAATGAGAGCCTTAGAGCTCACGATGAACTCGTTAGTTCATAAAAAAGGTCCTGGAGCTCACGACGAACTCATTAGTTTGTAATAAGAGCCTTGGAGCTCACGATGAACTCGTTAGTTCATAAAAAGAACCCTGGAACTCATGATAAACTCGTTAGTTCATAAAAAAGAGCCCTAGAGCTCATGACGAACTCATTAGTTTGTAATAAGAGCCCGAGAGCTCACAACAAACTCATTAGTCTGTAATAAGAGCCTTAGAGCTCACAATAAACTCGTTAGTTTATGAAAAGAGCTCGGGAGCTCACAATGAACTCGTTAGTTCATAAAAAGAGCCTAGGAGCTAACGACGAACTTATTAGTCCGTAATAAGAGCCTTAGAGCTCACGATGAACTCGTTAGTTCATAAAAAGAGTCATGGAACTCACGACGAACTCATTAGTCCGTAATAAGAGCCTTAGAGCTCGCGATAAAATTTTTAGTTCATAAAAAGAGCTCAAGATCTCACGACGAACTCATTAGTCCATAATGAGAGCCTTAGAGCTCACGCTGAACTCGTTAATTCATAAAAAAAGTCCTAGAGCTCACGACGAACTCATTAGTTCGTAATAAGAGCTCGGGATCTCACGACGAACTCGTTAATCTGTAAAAAGAGCTTTAGAGCTCACGATGAACTCGTTAGTTCATAAAAAGAGCCCTGGAGCTCACATTGAACTTATTAGTCCATAAAAATAGCTCAGTAGCTCAGGACTAGTTCTTTTGTCCCTAAAGCAAAAACAGCAGCTCATAATGCACTTCCCGATCCAGAAGAACTAAAAGCAAGACCTGTAGCACGTAGACTAGAGGGAAAGCTTTACAGCTTCTATCCATTACAAAAAGGAAAAATGGGGGTCTTTGGTCCACAAGCCAGGAAACGACATGGAAGATTAGTTGTCAAATTCTCAAAGCCACAAATTGTGTATAAGAAGCGGCAAACATGGAAAGGGAAAATAAAGGTTTCAAGAACATCAAAGATTACAAAAAAATCAATCAAAGCAAAATTCCTAGTCGTCTCTGCAGTTCGGCTATCCTCTCTTTCAAACGCAAGTTCTCCTCCTTCAGCTCATCCCTCTCCTTCTCAGTCGCTGACAGTAGATCCATCAATTTTTGCCCAGCAGAGGAAAACAGAACTTTCCCCAGGAAAGATCTGGATGAAGCAAAGGATGAACCATCCCTCTTGCGTTTCTTGATATGAGTCCCAGCATCCTCGCTCTCATCAGACCCGGTAGAAGAGAGATTAGATTCAGGAAAAAAGGGAAAGTCCCGTGCAGTTGCAACGGCGCTAAACGAGAATAGATTATCTGGCGTCATGAGATCAGGAAAGGACATGGGCACAGCTTGGGTCATTTGTTCCACCCTCATCAATTCAAGCATGTTCAGATCAAGAGCACCTACATGCAAAAAAAAAAAAAAAAATCATGTGCAAACCTCGAGGTCGCTGATTGGGAAACCGTTCTGCTACATCTTAAGCTCAACCCTCGCCCAAGCCAGCTTGACCAAGAGCTGGGGGGCAATTGATGATACTTAGAACAATTCCTAAGTATGAGCTCGGAAGCGGAGGTCAGACGCACAGAACTCATAAAATCAGAATAAAGCCCAGTCCAATCGAAGCAGCAGTGAAAGTAATAAAGAGATAGTTATTTGTCAACAAAAACTCTAGAGGCAGCAAAGAGTCATAATCGAAGCATAAAACTCTCATCCAGGAAAGATCTCCTCCTAAGATCAAGGAGGATTTCTCGAATAAATGGTGAAGATCTTGAGGCGGATCCCACAGAATTAGGAAAAACCCTATAAATACTATATAACGCCCCCAACAGAGGGGTAGAACCTTAATATCACATCTTACATTCTGTAAACTTTTTGGTATAGTAAATAGTGAAGGATGAAGAAAAAATTTTCATTGAATAGTAGATTAGCCGAGCTCCCGAGTTGGTGAACCACTATATTTCTACTGTGTTAATTCCCCAACTTTCTAACAATTCTCAGTATCATTCCCTCGAGTCTAGTAGTTCAGATTCTAACAATTCTAATATTATTTTTTTTATTTACTCGTCATCATAAAATTACATCACGTTAAAATACACTATCAATTGTTATTAGTAAATTGAACAAAGTAGCAGACATCATCAATTGTTATCTTGCCCTGGTAGGCTACCATCTAAAATCAATCAAAAATAAGAGGGGTACAACATAATTTCAGAAACTACGAGAGCATTTATGAAATTTAAACAAATTACAAGTTGGTCGTCATTGCAATTATACCAAAAATGTCCAATCTACTGGTCGTCGTGCATAAACTTTTCAGCCCCTCTCTCTCTCTCTCTCTCTCTCTTTGTGTATTCATCACCGCCCCCAACCAAAACCTCCCATGGCGGCGAGTCTGTGGCAAGCCGTGATGGGCTCGAACCAGGCAAAAGACAACTACGACGGCGTAGAATTCTGGTCGAACCCAGAACGCACCGGCTGGCTCACAAAACAAGGCGAGTACATAAAGACCTGGCGTCGCCGTTGGTTCGTATTGAAACAAGGGAAACTCTTCTGGTTCAAAGAATCCACCATCACACGCGCCTCCAAGCCGCGTGGCGTAATCCCAGTCTCCACTTGCCTCACCGTCAAGGGCGCCGAGGATGTTCTCAACAAACAGTTCGCCTTCGAGCTCTCGACTCGGTCCGAGACTATGTACTTCATCGCCGATTCCGAGAAGGAAAAGGAGGATTGGATTAATTCGATCGGACGGTCGATCGTTCAGCACTCGAGGTCGGTGACTGTTAATGAGATCGTCGATTACGATAGCAAGCAGTAATTTGAGAGACAGGCCGATTCGGTTGGTGATCGTGTATAATTAGGTACGTTTGGACCCTGCTTCGTTTGATTATTCGATGAATCTCAATCTAAATGTGTGTAATTGTGGATCTGAACTAAAGATCGTTTCACTATATATGTTGATGCAAGAGTACTGTGTTTTCTATTCTTAATTGGGTCTTGATGGGATTAAAGTGCTCGTTTTTCCCTTATTTTGAGGAATTGTGTTGTTAAATTGTATATGTTCTTTCTCAATTGTGGACTTTATAGGGTTTTTTAGTCTAGAGTATTACCATAATATTGATTTTCATTGACTTCTTTAGGTTGATTTGGGTACTTAACAAAGGCAGGGATTTGTGAATGTCGTGAGGTTTTAGTATGACTGAAACTATGTCAACCAAGTTTCCACTTTCCACCATATATTGTTGAAGACCTGTCTTCATCATACCTTCATCAGGAAGAACATTGCTAGACTTTAGAGCAAAATGAACAAATGGTGGTCTGGAAAGATGACGAGTGTACTTTGTTAAATAATCCTTCTCCAAAAACTTAATTTTTTTAATAATTAGGGTGACCGCAAGATTCGAACACACGACCTTCTGTTTTAATATTATGTTGCACAACCATCTACTCCACAAGTTTAAATGGTTGGTTTGACTGAGGTTTAAATTCCTTGCTTGCAACTGTGCTCCTTGTGGATGTGGACTAGTTTTCTAGACTTCCATCGGGTGTGAACTCAAAATAGCAGCCTTATAATCATTACCTTGGTAGTTTACACTTGAACATGCGGTTATTTTCTTCAGAGATTTTAGTGCCTAGTGTTCCGCAGGGCTTCACCTGAAATCCCCTTTTCTGGTCAAGACAGACAGTCTTGGTGGCAACAGGTTTTCCTGTATACACAATGTTGAAACTTCCAGCCAGAACACAATATACGATAGTCCAAGCAAATCCCTTTGTAACTTTAAGGAACTGATCATAAGAAGCCCTTAAGAACCCTCCTCTAATGAATGATAGGAAATGAGGTTTCTTTCTTTATTTTTTAAGAAAAAATGAAATGAATGCTAGGCATACAGTAACACTGGCAAACTTCTGAGTTGAGCAAGCTGGCAAGTGCAGTTCTTGAATACCGCTACAGAGTTTTGTATTACAAGTGCAATGACACAGGTCTTCTTGAAGACATCTTGTGAGGGTGCCTTACCTTCAAATTTTTTCATGGACATTTTGAGATTCCTCCAAAATAATAGTATTACAAGTGCAATGACACAGGTCTTCTTGAAGACATCTTGTGAGGGTGCCTTACCTTCAAATTTTTTCATGGACATTTTGAGATTCCTCCAAAATAATAGTTGCCCTAGATCTATTGGTTTTGGCCAGACTAGTTATTGCGAGAAAGATCCAAATATTCAATTCCTTTCGAGGAACCAAGTGATAGCAGAGTGCTTCCCCGAATCAACTTACGCCTTGGATGGAAACATTCCAATCTCCAACTATTGTGAAGACCTGGTAAATTGTCATCTGAAACATCTAGTGCCTGTAGATTGTTCAAGGCACCGATTTGACATGGTAGCAAACCAGTAAAAGAGTTATGAGCTAAGTCAGGCAACTGTTCTGGGCACTGAACCAAAAAGGCTGTTTAGAAGGAAGATTCAAAATTTGCAAGCCTTTAATGTTTCCAAAACTTGTGGTGTTACTTCTTGTGAAGTTGTTTCTTATAAGTTGAGTTGGAATGTATGGATGAGAGTGCCAATAGATGAGGCAATTGGCCTCGAGACTTCACTTGTCAAATTTAGCTGCTGCATGTTTTTCAGCTTCCTGATATCAGATTTGACATGAAAGATGGTTGAGTTCTAAACCAGATATGACTCAATTTACTTTGTTGGATATCCCGGCGACAAAGGTATTGTCAAATTAATTAGCCCTGGTGACCAGTTGATTGAGCTGGGTTGAGGATTGACAATTAGGTACAACACCACCAAATCTTGGTGCAGTTGGTTTAAGTGTCTGCAAACTTTGGTCAGTAGCTTCCCAGTGCTTAAGTCGTTGTGATTGAGATTTGGCCTCGGAAGCTCTTGCATTCTTTTATCTAGATTAAGGGAATACCCCTGAAAGCATGCCCTTTGGAAAGACCAAGATTGTTCAGTTCTGATGCAGTAGTGAAAAAAGCAGGAAATGGCCCCTCAAAATGGTTTCCAAGTGATAAATATCCGTAGGCTTGGGACTGTGAGGTGATCAATGGAGTCTAGATTTGTGCTATAGAGACTATTGGTTTCCCAGGGAAACTGATCGGAGAATTCTTAAGGCTAACCAGAGAAGGTGAAATTCCCCCCATTGAGATTGTTGGGGAGGTTTGCCAAAAAAAATTGTTGGAGAGGGGAACAGGGAAGTGAGCTTGGACAGTTTGAAAATGTTATGGGGATTGTGGGTCGATTTCATGATTTGATACGTGGTATGGATACATGACAATTGACATTTCTTGGATATGCAGGGCAATAAAAATAGATTTAACTTGTATAGTATTTTGAATTGTAATTCGTCTTGAAATTTTTTTGTAGATTACTTTTGTTAGTATACAAAATTATATAATTATCCATCCATATGTGTTAATTTAATAGTTATTCGACATTCGTGATCGGTTTCATATTATCACATATACAATTATTCATCCATATAAACATAGTCTATTAATATAGGGTTAGTGTTAATAGTCAATAATTTGGATCACGAGCTCTGCCCTGTTTGGGGTCATTGGGCTAGATCGTGGGTCTAAGCGATTTCCCTGACATTTTTTAGTGAAATTTGAGATGCTGCAGGCTGAAAGGCTGAGCACTTGGGCCATGTTCCCTTCTAGGCTATTGTCACGTGGTAGATGGACCTGAGAAATGTTAAGCTACCTACGGCGATTCGAATAATGAAAGTCCGGATTTGAGACCTCATGCCAACAATTATTATTCTTCCGAGCTAATGACTGCTTGCTACACCATGCCACTCACAGATGGAGATCTCTCACTCTCCCCCCCCCCCCCCCCCCCCCCAAAAAAAACCCACCCCAAACAAATACGTCAATATTTCCCCCTACAAGGACCATCCTCCATCTCTTTGCTCTCATCTCCGTCTTCCCACAAATCAATAAAGTTGGGGCCCACATCTTTTAGGTTTGGCAAATTTAATTTTTATTTGGATAGGATAATGAATCCGGGCTCCCTCCTCCTCCTCAAGTGATAATAATTCATATAATATAGTATACACATATCGAGAAAATTTTATCGAAATAGATATTTTGAAAAAATTGTCGATATTTTTAAGAAAATAACGTGTAAACATAAATTTTAAATGGTACAATAAAAGAAAATAAGAAAAAAAATTATAATTTAATATAACGGGATCGATTTTTTGAGAAACCTCTAAATTTCTCCCACGGCCACCAACACCAGTAGTGTTTGATTTTGTTCTTATCAATGAATGTCTGCTTCTTTAAGCTAAATATCCTGTTTTTGACAAACCACGCACAACCTGCACTCCACCAGCCTATCCAAGATCAGTTCTGGGCTGAAGTGGTTTTAGATCTCAGCTTCAACCTGGACTTAAGATTTCCTTCACAAACTGCTTTGTAGACAAAGAAAAGTTTAACCACAAATGCCCTGCTGTCATGTCATCCAACTGTAGTAAAGTGACCTCCTTCAACAAGTAATTCTTCCTTTCTTTCACAAGTTCTAGCAATCTCTACTCTTTCTGCAATTAAAGAAATGAAGGAAGATGATCATTTTGTCCCGAGTCATCTGCCTGATCCAGTCCTTTTGAGCCTCTGAAGCGTAGATACCAGGATTATAGATAGCCTTAACGCCCCATAAACTAGGGTCACACAACCCAAAATGAGGTGGGTTTGCGATTCATATAACTCAAAATCTCAACATTAAATTATAACTCAAATCACAAATTGATTCATTATTTAAGTAATCTCACATCATAACCCTAACTCCAAATCCTATTTCTAACTTGTTATTTCTTTATTTTGATGTTCTTTAAACTCATATTTTGACAATGTTTATCAAAAATATAAAATAAATATTTATTAACTATATAGATATATTATTCTATATAGAAATTACAAAACGAATCACAACTCAAAAATATATATTAACTAAGTCTACCCTCAATGTACTGCATGTTGTAAGAAATATCGTACGTATCAAATCGATCCATGATCCTTTTAACAATACTCCAAAGTGAGGCCAAAAGGATTTTCCTATAATTCCTTCATTATCTCCAAAGCTCTTCTTATTCATGAAAGGAGGAAAAGGGAGGCCGCCAAAGGAGGAGACAGAATGAGCGAATCATCCAATAATTACTTGTGGAAGCAACCAATAAAAAAAAATTGGCTCCTCCAACATTCCGAACTAGAATCTAAAAAAGCAATGTTCTTCTCCAACTAGAAATAAAGTGTCCGCTTAAACAAAATAAGAATTGATTAATAGAGCTAGTAAACAATCTATAATTATTACTAATGGAAAATAAAAAAAGCTATAATTTCTAAAATAAGAACCATAAAAAAAGTAGTATGCCTATTTTTCTTCCTACACAAATTTCCCTTCTGCTACAACTATTTCTTCCACCGAATAGTAAAGAAAATAAATATGCATCGAGAGACTTTCAATGGAAGACGAAAAATGGTCAATTGAATCACCAGAGGGTGTTCAATTGATCTGTCATATACACCCAAAGGGGTAAGAAAAAGGCATTATCAACGGTTGGTCAATTATGCACACCTAAGCTAGACCACCTTTAAAAGTTTTACTTGTCATAAAATCCAAATCATGGCTGTTGTTTCCATCACAACTTCACAGGTGGCACTCAAACTACAATGTTGCATCAAAGATGACCACACCCAAAAAGATGAAAGGTAAACCGCCATTATCTAAATCGTGGGTCGCTTTAGTACACAATACGAATACGAGTACATGATATGACACTTTCTTATGTACACGGTACGATGGAAGTAAATTTAACTGGTACGATACTTTAGGTCGCAATTCACTTTAGAACTCTTATATAGATCGTTTTCCCTATTATACAACATTATGTATTACAAAACATTCATAAACACTAAATTAGTTACCATTTATCTTATAATTATACTTGATTTTCTATTATCTAAAACAATATATAATTAAAAATCTATATACATGTAGTCAATTAATATGTATTTTATATTCGTTCTACATGTTCTAAAACGAATTGATTTAGTGTTAGTATTACAATTTGAGGTCATCTATTTTGGTGATCTGGATCGCGAACTCACCTCGTTTGAGATCGATGTACCCAGATTGTGAATTGTTCAGGGTTTAGCGAATTGTGGTAACCATGGAGTAAACCAGGTCACCTCCTATGGTAGTAAACCTTGTCTAATCTTCTAAAGAAATTGTTGGGATAAAATCTGCTAACATAATCTGTGTGTAGGGTTGGAACCCCATACAAGGGATCCAGATGGGTATCGCGGTTCTGTTCCTCCATATTTTAGAAGCTAAGAGTTTAGATGGCCCATGCAGGCCTCGAACATGTAACCTTCCTTCATACTTCATCATTTTCTCCAGCATCCAACAAAATACGACAGGAAAAAAAAAAAAGTCTCAAAACATCCAATAACAATCCCATAATTCATTGGTGGCATTTCAATTTTGCTTCCGTCTCCTGGCATTGATTTCATCAACTCTTGATATCCAAATTCTATACTTTAGGAAAACCATAAGCCAATGAGACAATAAACTAAAACGGGTTGCACTCTCCTCAAATTTCATAAGAACTTAAGGATCCTCCAATTGTCATTTAAGTGGTTAAGATTTTACACAAAATGCAAATTCAGCTGATTTTCAATTTCGAAAATTAAGGGATACTTTTCGAATCAACTGAATTTGTTGATACGTACTGTCCTAACAGTTCAAAAGAGAGTTGCAGGATTCTCCCATTCTTATGAAATTGGAGGAGAGTCAAACCCAACTAAAACAAATAGTTACCTGGAAACAGACCGTGCATGAGTATGAAAACACAACATGCCCCTTAGTAACTATAACAGAACAAATAAGTCAAATGTTCTAGAGTTCCCAGTTTAACAAACCCTCTATTAATTTAGCTACCCCTAACCAAACACCCCCATTCTACGAAGAAACCAACAACCGCAAATTTAGACATCCTCTTGTTTCAATTCAACCCCCCATAGAAAATATACACTTGAAGGTATCCACATTTATGCAGCCATTTCAACTCAAGTTTCACACATGTCAATTTCTCTCTTAGACAATTGACCGAACACTAAATTTACAGTTTTTATGGTCTTTTTCAATTTGCATTTGAAAATAGGCCCCAGTTATACCACCTTTTAAATGTAGTAGAAATGAGACACAATTTATAACAACCTATGCTGGTTTCCTATACTATGAATCAACTTATTATAGGACTTGAATTAAGAACATTAATCCAGACACAAATGACTTGCAATTCAGAGATTATGTTAAACTCATCACCAATCAAACAAAGATTAACCAAATGGCAAACCACGAAACACACAATTTTAACGATGAAGGCATAAAAATTAACTAATAAACACTTTCGCAATTAAGACAAATTGAAAAAAGAACACAGACAAGATGCTGTACCAACAAAAGCAGCGATATAAAGCTCACAAGTTACATTGAAACGGACAAATTCAACTCACAATACTCAGTTAGAAAACAAGGATTCATCAATCTCAATCTTAACCTTCTCATCATCATCAAACCGATCTTTCCTAGGCGGCAACGGAGGTACTGGAACCCTTGGTGGTCCTCTCCCCTTCTTCTTGTTCCTAGGCCTTGCCTACAAAAATCCCCACACACACACACAAACATAGATACAGTAAATCAGAAAAACAGATTCAAAACGCCAAGATTAATTAATCAAAAACCCTAAAAAAAATACCCAAAATTTTGTGAAGAAATTATCAAAAACTCACATTTCCGAAGGAGTGGTTGAAGCGCTTGCCTCTGGCTGTCTTTTTATCCCCTCTGCCACAGTAAACTAAAAACCAAGAAAATACATATTGTCAGTCAAAATGATATATTTACTCATCAATACGAACGTGTGTGTGTGTGCGCGCGCGCGCGTGGTATTTTTTTTTGATTAATTCCACGTACTTAGTGGGAGTGTTGGAGAGAGAGAAGAGGAAGAAATGGGCAGTGAGACATAGAATTGGGACAGGGATCGAGAGGAAGACAGCGTAGAAGAGAGAGGCAAGGATTGGGGGGCCATTGGAAGAGCTCCGAATAACAGTGAAGCCATTGGGAGAGAGAGCGACGAGGAGGAGATGGCTCAGAACACAAAAAGTCGAGTTCGTGGCCACTTAAATTGGGATAAGTAGATAACTCTTCTATACGACACCGTCTCGAGCAATTAATCAACTTGCATTTTTTATTATTATTTACTATGGAAAATACTACACAACCTAAATAATATTTAAAAATTATAACTCAAATACATATCATCTTTTGGATGAATATTAACAAAGTGGATTCTACTAAAAAAATTGATGAAACTTACTCATTAAAAAAATGATATGATTTGAGTTACTTTTTTGGTTCTATTTGGATTGATGATTATTACATATAGGTTTATTAATTATGTGCGGATTCATGTCGAATTTTAGTGAATTTGCATCAAAAAATACTCCACTTATATTCGATGTATTTATTAATTCATGTCTAATGAATCATGTTAATAGATTTATAAACGAATCGTATTATATATATTTTTTGATTGACTTTACTCATACCTGATTCGTTTATTAATCGTGTCGAATCAGGTTCACTCGTTTATAAAACAAGTGACTTAAAAAATACTTAAACCTTTAAGTTCGTGTTGTGTTCCTATTATGTTGTGTTAATAGATCATGTCATATTTTGACACTCCTAATTACATGTGTGAAATTTTACATTAAATAAAAAAGTAAGTTAAGGTGTCATAATATACTATAAATGGACCTACTTATATTGGGCCTCAAATCGATGAGTTCACCAATTTCCCAATAAATTGGTATCAAAGTCATTTTTAACAAACTCTGGAAGAAGCAGTATAACGTATCGGTATCAATAGTAACTATTAAAAAAAGTGATGGACTCTTGATATTAAAGTCATGAAAATGCAATTCAAAAATTCTAATAGGTAGATAAAGTAGTAACAATGACGATTTATAAATTTAGACGTTCTGAATTCAAATCTTAACAATCTATCCAGATCAGGCCATAAAATATTTATCTCTCATAAATACTTTAATCTCAGTATAAATAATCTGTTTTTGACCGAACTAAAAAAATTAGTCTAAATGCACGTCAACAAATTCAGACACCCCAACTCATTAAACAAAAAACACACACACACGACTTAGAAAAGAGGAAGTCATAGAACACTCCTACAAAATAGTAGTTTGACGCAATGCTTCTGGAGTGCAATTCATTAGAAAAACCAGGGGGGGGGGGGTTTCAAGATAGATTGGTTTATGATCGGTCCGGATTTTATTGGGTCAAGCCCAATTTAAATAAATCGAGAAAACCTAAAGAAGGGTCCAACGTCAACCCATTGAGAAAGACACCAAAAGGACAGCACCAAAAGCAAACGGCCAAAGCAGGAGGAGGACGAGGGAGCCCTTGGGCGCCCCTTCTCTTGTTTCCTCTTCACCTTGGTATTCCAATCCGAGTCCAAGTCAAGCCGACTCAAAACAAGTCCAAGTCCAAGTCCAAGACGAGGGTCAAGCTCAATCCAACTAATGTTCTCCTCCGAATGAATAGGAGCACGAAGAAAGATAATATGGAGATAGACATACAAGATCTCCTACCATAACAATACTTGCCGAAGCAATAGAATTCTTCTCCCTCACGTTACCGCCTCTGCTACCTTACCTTAATTATATAATGTAAGCCCTCTCAACATTGAGGGCAGGCCTCCAAAACCTCTACACTCACTCTTATACACATTGCTCTCTCTTACTCTCCGTCAAAGTACTGTGACTCTTTAAAGTATCATCACCCATCAATAATGAACACTGGTCACCGCTGTCATTCCTAAAAGTGGAGTAGATCATCTGAGACCGAATCATTATAAATTTTTGAGTTCTTATTTACTATTTTTGCCATTGATTGCTTGTTGCTCATTGATTGCACCTATTCACTTTCTTGACTGTTGATTTTGCACAAAATTAATTTTGTGCATCATCAATTTATTATCCTATTTTCAGGGTAAAGCTGAACTCAAACTGGATCGAAGTGACCATGGTAAACATAGCAAACTTAAATCCACCCAACCAAATCCTTAGGTTCACATTAAGCCCTGGGGCACAGAAGAAAAAGTCTTGTTGAAAAAGGTGAACACTCTTCTGAAGATTTACTTTAAAAAAACACCCAAAAATACTTTTAAGAAAATGCTACCAAAGCTGATAATCAAATCGAACTTTACAAACTCAAATCGATTCTATCGAGCTCTTCTTTAAATGAGCCTAAAAATTATTCAAGCTCAATTTGTTTAAAAAATAAACCTAACTTTAAAACAAGTCAAACCCTAGTCAAACTTAAATAACTAGACTATTTTATTTTGTATATAAACGAGTCAAGTTCAAGGTGAGTCATATACGAGTCAAATCTGAACTGAGTCCAAATAATTTACCTCGATTATCAACCACACCAGGCTTCATATAATTACAAACAAAAAAGGCGCAAAGGCTTCATATTTTGCTCTCTTTCATTCCCAGCTGACAATATTCCATCCATCTTTTTTAGTTCAAACCTGTACAATTCCGCAATTTATAACAGGCACCATGCTCTAGGACATTACATTTCTATGATCCAAGAGCAAATTCTTGATGCCTTGGCCCGATGTTCTACTTTTGGTGTTACTTTTTTTTTTCCTTACTTTGACTTGTTGCCACCCAAGTAACTCATGGTCTAACCCACGAGACGAGTTTGCGTTGCTGAAAATTGGGTAGCAAATGACCTGTTCACATTGGCTGGCACAGCAATCCCTTTATTTACAAAAGCCGACTCCGCCAACTCGATGGCACAAGCAAGACCAGCAGCTTTGTTTTCACACTCAATCTGCTCGTCATCGGGAACACTGTCGGCCACAATTCCGGCTCCAGCTTGAAGGTGAGCAACCCATTCTTGCCGCCTGTTGGCGTCCTTGTATGAGTACATTGTGTCATAACGGGCTCCAGTCGGGAATACAATGGTCCTGAGAGAGAGTGCAATGTCCATGTCACCAGAAAATGAAATGCCGCCAAATCCACCACTGTAAGGCCCTCGTCTTGCTACTTCCAACTGATCAATCAACTCCATGGCCTTCACCTATAAACCACAGTGCAGCAGATAATGAGAATAAAGAGGGCAAAAAGTCATCCTTATAAGGTGACCATACTTCGAATCTTTACAAGAACTGCAACTAAATTTCAATAACAGAAAAATGAAACCCGACACAAGAAATGGATCCGAGTGCAAATCTTAGAGAAGCAATATGATTAGCACAGGGCAAGAAAATCACACAGCCAAATCCCAAATGAGACATCCTCATGGATCAGCAGGGGCAGGAATGAAAACTCTTCAACAAATAAGGACCGTGCATTGCAGCAGTAAAGCAACATCAGAAAAACCAATTATTAATATAGCCTACTAGGCAAACATTTTTAGAAACCACTGCTTGGGAATGTTTCATTATCAATGAAGAGCAAGAAACAAAAGGTTGAAAAATAAATGGGAATAAACAGCAAGCAACTAGTAACCTTTGGTGCTCCACTAACTGTTCCAACAGGCAAAGCAGCACTTAGGGCATCCCAGCAAGTAAGATGATCAAGCAACTCCCCTGTCACCTGTGAATAGGTATTGTGGATATTTAAATGATATGGTTTCTGCTAAAGCACCTTAGTTCCACACCACTCTTTCTACCATGTCAACAAGGAAATATTCCATGCGAAAAAATAATTTATTTACACAAAAAATCATATTGGTGACAGGAACACATCACTTTAGGTTTAAACTGGAGTAAACTCTCACCGTGGAGCTGATGTGCATCACATGGGAATACCGTTCAACAGACATAAGCTTTTCAACATTCACGGAACCAGGTTTTGATACCTACATCAACGAACTGCATTAAAATAGTGTTGGTGCGATGTATCTTCAAAGATGAGTTAACAAAATTTAGGAAACATAAACAGAAGAAAGTCATAGTACAGCTTTGATGACACAAATACAGGACAGGAAACACACATGGGCAAATAACAATATCCATCTAGAGAGTTTTTTGCCCTAAAATAAGCATCTTCCTTGTAGTTAGCCAGGAAAATGCTGACAATACTATATCCAAACTAGGAAGAAAACATTTCGAAGGAGGATACTTCAGTTTCATATAGACCTGACCAAAATTCAGCTCCTATATATTTAGATGACTTGTTGGCTGGAATTTTCCCCAATTGTGCATCTCTAAATATTAATCCCAACTACAAAGCCAAGTCTTTCTAAATACTTTATCCAACACACGGGTAAACAAGAAAACCCCTATGTACTGATAAGAAATTTCAACCAATAAAAAAATGACAGCCAATCAAATTGCTGAATAAAGTTGGCAATATTGTACCAATGGTTAAATGGGGTTATGTTGACCTCAAATGGTGAAAACCATAACTGCATCATACTAGCAAATAGGCATTGACCATTGCATACAAATGTAACAAAGTCAGAATGGAATACAAGGGACATAAGAAAAAAGATACCATTACAACAAGCAAATGAAATACTTCAGCCCCTATGAACCCCAAAAATATAACAAGGAACACCCTATGAGTCGATTTGCAGATCATAAACCAGAACACTCACATAATAGATGTTTACGTAATATACAATTTAAAAAGAGTTAGGATGAACCTTTCCAACATCATTTCGTCCCAAATCAACCAGCATGATGTGTTCTGCACATTGCTTGTCATCTTTTAGCAGCTGCATTTCCAACATTTCATCTTCATGGGGTGTCTTCCCTCTTCTTACAGTCCCAGCCAATGGTCGACTAACAATCCGCTTCTGTCAACAAGAATGGTATGATGCAAATGATTGTTGCATAATATGTAGAAAGCATCAGGTTGCAAATGCTAAATCGAAAACTTTGCAAGACATCCAGAACCTTGAAAAACTCAAGTTCTCACAGAATATCAGATCAATACAGTCGGAAGTAAAGGCCCAATGATATCACCTTCTTTATTCGTGTAAGAATTTCTGGGCTTGAAGCGACCAAAATACACCCTCTAGCCTGATAAGAAAGAATTCAGAAAGTAGAATAACAGTGGAAGCACCCAAAAAGGTGTATAGAACAAGTTTCAGAGAAGAACAAACTTGCAAGTAAGTCATATATGGACTTGGATTCACAACTCTCAATGCTCTGTAGACTTCAAAAGGGTCGGCAAATGTTCTGCGTTCAAAGCGTTGACTTAATACGATCTGAAAAATATCCCCTGCAAGAATATGCTCTTTTGCCTGTAGAACTGCATCCTTGTATTCTATGCCTGTCATGTTAGCCATGTTAAGAGATGGTCCAAAACGGTGAGCGCAGAAATCCACAGAACCTGGAGACAGCCTTGGGCTAGTAATTGCAAATGAAAAAGAATAATATGAATGTTATTGACATCATAAATAGCACCATTTTTGGAAACGAGTAAGACTGTTACTCACAGATCAATGGCTTGTATTCTGGACAACAACATTTGCAAGCGTTTCATTCCACCAATATAAGCCTTTTCAGCACATGAATATCTATCTAGCCGCACCCAATGGATCACATACGCTTTCTAAAGATACACAATTTCACAAAATCCCTCAATCCGAATTTTAAAAAATATTTATAAGTATAAGAAAACTCAACAGCTATAATCAAGTTGAAGTTGAATAAAGGCTACTGCAAACTATTTTTTAATCAACTTTGTCTTCTACTGATTAGTTCCCTGAATAAATGTCAACAATATGCAGAAGCACTAATTGGTAATAACTTATTGGTAACGTGCACAAAAAATTAGTCATTAACCCTATAAAAGCCGCTATTAATGAGCAACATCTGTCAAGTGCCCCTTTGAGACATGCAACAGAGTTGCCTGTGACATAGGTATCTCCCATGTGAGAGCAACTTTGTGTGAAGAGTTTTTACTCTACAATAATCAAGAACTTAATTTTTGCTATAATGATCAAGGGATATAACACTTTGATGCCAATATGTTGCCTTCGCAAGTGAAGGGCAGGCAAATTTTTTTGAGCTACTCACACATCCCAAGTAAGAGATCTTCCTTTTGAATCGGCCAAGAGTACCTTCTGTACATGATCAAACACAACTACGTCATCATAGAGTCCAAGATGAATGTCAGCAAGGTTCCTGTCATCCTTTGGTGCCCCCGAGAATGGAAGCTTCTTATTCTCAACATATCTTACTGTATCATACGAGAAATAACCAACCCAACCACCTGTTCATGATGGCAACAGATTCCTAAGTACAGCTTTAATAATATAAAATGTTAGTGTAATAAATACAACAAAATAGTGAATGCAATGATTCCTTTTCCTTTCTATGATAGTAACTTTTCCTCTACAGATCCCAAGATAGAATCAAAATCTACTACTCTTGGTCGGTTATACAATTCTTTTTCACTATATACTTGTATCAGATCCGTTACCACAAACATAATACCTTCCACTTTAATAGGATGAACACATATGAGGTGGGCTGTTAAGCTTTACACAAATTGTCCATCCTTCATAGAGGTCTTCCCTACCGTCAGGTTCGGATAGCCATGCAACAATATGACACTAAAACACTTGTGGGCGCAAGGGAGAGTGGGTGGGACAACCGCCTTCCCAAGACTCCAAAATTAATTATATCCCCACAGAAAAATGGTTCTTCAACCCAACAGTTATGCATTAGTCCCTCCAAAAGTTGGAAAAATTTTCCATCCCCGCTCCCAATCCTCAAGGTCAAAACCTAGGTCCGCCAATGGAACTAAACACATCTTTATGGTAAGTCTTACACATTACAACCTGCTGCACTAAAAAAGAGAGAACTTTAGTAGCAGTTGTCTCACACATAAAATATTTCTTCACGATTAAACACATCAAAAGCCTTCACTCCACGGCATTAATTATTCTTTCCACACATGTTGTCGTGCATGCATGAAACGAAGAGATGCACATGCATTGTGGTCAGGATAAGTTATCAATGTAGAGACTTTGAATTACAGGTGTGACATTTGTTTGATAGTTAGTGAACTTCAATTTATGTTTCACAAAAACGAGGTTGATCCTAGAAGCAGGATAAAATATGGCTTCATTCATGAGTGTCACAACCACTATATATCCAATATCCATGACATTTCCTTCACATGCGCTATGCACGCCATCTACATGATAAGCTTTAAAGCTCTACCTCGAGTCTCACAATTAGCCTAACACTTCCCACGCTCTAAAGCTCCGCATGTGAATATTCGCTTTGAGAGCAAATTCGTCATAAACTCGTGCTGTCACTTAAATAAATTAGTGAATTCACCCAAATAAATTTGCCAATTTCAATAAATATTTAAACTCCGGGTCACAAGCCCAAGGCTTCGAACTCAGCTTGCACACTAAACAAAATGGTCATTGCCTCCAGCTGTACTCACTTCATTTATGGGTTTTTCTTGCTAAAAGTTGCATGCCTGAGCCATAATGCATATCGAATTCACTAAACAGAGGACCACTGCCTATTATAGGCATGTGTAGCTTCTACTTTTTCATTCCTTGTCGATGTGGGATTGAACAAGGCATTGACATGCCTCAAGCCTTTTTCTTTAATCATTTAACATATTGCTTTTTTGTGAGATTCAAAAGTCAAATCAATAGTTAATAAAATTGAAATAATTTATCATATATTTGTATATAAAATTTAACTTTTTAAAATCTATTTTCAATAGTTTTTATATAATGTAAACATGTACGTATGCATTTAGCATGACACTCTCAAGATGCTCCTACTCTAATAATTTTTTGAATTTTTCCTCTGTCACACTCCCGCTATCGCTCTTGCTCCGGCTCTATGTTATCTAGGCTCGACCAACTATCCTAAGATCCCACATATACGTGAGTTGTTCCCACATATATGCAGGTTGTTCTCCATATATGAAGGTTGTTCTCCACTCCACGAATTAACCAACACATTAGAGCGCATTTTGATACAGGAGTTTGACATTTTAGTTCATCGATTTGACCGTGCCTTGAATCAGACTTTTCAAGCCTATGGAGCCACACGTGGCTAAAAAATAGATAGCCAACAAGTTATGTGGTTTGAACAGGTGACCATAAAATAATGTGAGCCCCTCCCATCCATCAAATCATTGCTAGTTTTGCTTAGTAACTGAACATAATAAATAGAGCAATGCTATTAGATATAATTTGGGGACATAATGCATTGTGATCAATGGAGTGATATTGAAATGCATTTAATGCTGCAATGGGTCTCATCATTAAATGCATTCCACTATCATCCACTGGTCATAATGCAGTATGTCCTCAAATTATGTCCTAATAGCATTAATGTATAAATATATTTGAATGCTTTCTAAATATTTTAGTTCTTAGCCTACAAGAAACTCTATTCTCATATATACTTGACATGGTTCAAAGAATCAGCCAACACTAATACGACTCTTCCGCATTGTATTCGACTCGACACTTTTTAATCCAAGTGTTCCTCATTACTTATAAATCACGAGTCTCACATGAATCGATTGAGTTTTTCGAGAAGTCACCAATTCAACCCCAGGTCACAGAATTATCATAACCAACTCGGCCAATACAATTCAACTATGTCGCAATATAATCTGAATATCTCGTGATATGTAACCTCTTTTAGGGCATATTGCATGATACTGTTTTGCGACACTTGTGACCAACGCATTTTAGAGCCCTCTATCGAGAGCCAATACCACAACTTTGAATTTTGATACCTGATCCCAATCAAGTGAAATAAATTTTCACAAATTTTCACGGTCCTCGATCTCCAACAATACTAATATAGCATCTATTTTAAGACGTATAATGCGACAATTTTGCTTAGCAATAGAATCCGCATGCAAAAAAGATAGGACATGACATGAAAGAAAACAGAAAGTCAACATTATTATCACATTTGAAGTCACAAAATAAGTAAATAAATAAAATCATGATTTCCTTCAAAATCTCCAGCTAATGTCTCTCAAATGAACAACTTATAGCTCCAAAAGAGTTTGCCACTAAATGATGCCCAATTTTACATGGCTTTAATTTGAAGTCAAATGCAATAAGAACTTATTCATGTTTAATGAGGTCAAAGTCCCTAAAATAAGACATGATCTATCAACATTATCTTACCACAAAATGTATCAGGAAGTTCATCAAGGAGTTGGGGTTTCCAAGCCTCTGAAATACTTCTTGCAATCGTCAGCGGATCATCCACAACCTTCTCAGTGAAGCTCCCTTCCTCGTGATCCAATATGGTAACTTTATTTTCTTTTGCCACAATTTCCATTGCTGGCTGAGCACCGACCACGCTATAACGACCCTGACAAGATCAAATTCAACACTAAACACACCACCCATTAACATTTAAAATCAATGCCTAGCTGAAAGGCTCTTACTACACTAGAAGCTCGAAAACCAGGCTCAACAGACTCAAAAAGAAAGCTAGGAGCTTCTCGATCGTCTTCTCTAACCAAACACCGGTAAGCAAGCACAGGAGTTAAGTGATCGGAGAAAATGCATTTGTGAATCGGGATTAAGTTCCCATCTCTCGCAGCTTCAACGAACTTTATTTGTTCCGTAACTAAAACAAAAATACAACAGCATCAAAAATTCAATTAGCAATTAACATTCTATTTATTGCTCAGAAAAATTCCGGAAAATAGAAAATGAAAGAGTCAAATTGTAGAAAATAGATATCCTCTAATTGCAAAAATTTATATATTAATCATATAGTTCGATATATGAACATGCAGGCACAAAGATGCTGAATTAGAGTTTGAGAAAATATTAAAAAAATTCTTCAAGCCAAGAAAAAGGAACCACGAAATCAGAAAATTAATTAAAATTAAAAAAATTGTCTATGTCCAGACGAAGTGTAAGAACATATTGTTCGGCTTACAAAAGGAGAATTTTTCCTTCTTAAACAGGCTGAAACGTAATGAATAGCCTGACTGAAATTTTGAGTTTATTTTCTTTTCCCGCATTTTCTCATGAATCAAACAACAGCATGTCTAATTCGAAGAAAAGAATACATACACATTTACACACACCCACACGCATGCATATACAAATACATTAATGTGTGTGTGTGTGAGAGAGAGAGAGAGAGACCTGGAGATGGAGAGTGGATAGAGCAGCATTGGATTGTACGGAAGCGGACCGCAAGCGAATAGCTCGAGCTTCGGCTGGTAATGGGGGTGACCGGCGCGTGAGATAGCCGGTGACTTGACGGAGCCAATCGATGAGAAATGGCTAGGGTTTGCATGTTCACAGCATTCACCGTCAGAGAGGGAGAGATTAGAGAGAGCGCGGCGAATCTTAGCCAGTGAGTTGAACTGGGCTGAATAATGGCGACTGTTTAATAAGTGTGTCAAGTAACGAATAGATGAGAGCATTAAATAGTGTTTTTTTTTTTTTTTTAGAGATAAAGCTGAGGGAAGTAGAGTAACTGATGTAATCTTTATTTCCATTTTTGACCTTTCCTTCAAACTAATAAAAAAATAAGTCAATATATAGAAATAGATTTTTTTTTTTAATCTAGAAATGAATTATTGTTCGGTTTTAGGGCAAATTACACTTTAACGCTTAAAAATTTTAAAATATTTAAGTATTCTTATTTTACATATTATACCCGCAATATATTAAAATAGTTATAATATATTTCTTCTGTTAACTTTCGTTATTTATTTTGTCAACGTTAATGACATTATTTTTTACAAAATAAATAATGGAAGAATTATATTGTAATATTTTTAATACATTAAGGGTATAATATAGAATATTTAATCTTTAAAGATATAAAATAACAAATTTTAATTTTGGGGGAATAAAGTGTAATTCTCCCTTATTTTTGTGTAAGTTTCCGTATATAGCACGTGGATAAGGTCATTGTCATTGTCATACCCATAATTGGACTTGTGACTTCAAGGATGAAAAATTAAAAAACTAAAAAAAAATCACAATGACATCTCTCCTTGGTTTTAAAAATAGTGGAAATAGCCTTTTTAGTTACTGGGCAAATAACTAGGGATCGCAATAAACTGAGAAAAAATGGTATTCGTCCAAATCTGTGTTGTTTAGGTCAAAATGGATTAACGATAAACATATACGAGAATATTTGTATAAATTCATACAAGAATAAAGACGGAGATGGACTTACTATTACTTTCACCCCATCCCTGTTATATATATGTGTGTGTGTGTGTGTATGCCTTGAAGGATCATGCAAATGAATACAGCCATTTTTGTTATGGGCAACCAATTGATTGCCCACAAAGCCACTCTCTTGCACATTGTTCAACCCAGAACTTGCCTGTTTTATCAATCGATGATTTACAAAACTTACATTATTAGTGCTGTCAAAAGTTGAAAACCAGTCTGCCATGGTGACTGGAGAGAGAGAGAGAGGATAACAAAGCAGGAAAAGCAGTTGAAGCATAGAGAGTAAGTAACAGGTATGAAATTGTTGTCTGCATTTAATTCTTGGTAGTCATAGTTCTGTATCATTGTGTTATTTTTATCGATTGTCATACTAAGTAACATATAGTGTTTATTTCATTCAATTCTTGTTAGATTATTTAAAATGTTGAATTTATTTAAAATTTTGGATTATGTTGGTTTGAACTTAATCTTAGGCTTGGGCAAGTACAGGGGAAGCGGGGACGGGAATGTGAATTAGAAATTTACTCGCGGACGATGATGAGAATTAAAATTATATCTGTTAACGGACGTGTATCGGGGATGGACGATGATTTTTTTAGTAGGTATAGGGATGAAGAATATACCTCCGCCCTTGTTTCGGTCCACTGACATCCCTATCAATAACTATAGGTGTTTTTCAGTAAATTATTTTTGTGAATGTAGTTCAAGCAAACTCAGAAATATTCCTGTGATTATTAATAAGTTTAAGGCATAACAGTATAATGTATGCAAAACAAAAAAATTATGACGATTAAAAGACAATGGCCTAACGCAAAAGGCAAATGTCTGAAGGACACTTGTCCAAATTCCCTTCTATTTTTCTGAAGTTAGATCCATCATAATTTATTAAAAAAATAAAAATAAAAATTATAATTATAATTAAAAAATCAATATTTTTACTTATATAAGTGGAGTTGATTTTTTTTTCATTTATTTACTAAAAATTGAATATTATGATTCAAATTTTAAGTATTCTCGTTTAGTTACCATCTTGTAAATAAATGAATTGTATTTGGTAATTCAAACTAATATCGTATAAGTAGATAAAATATAAAATTAAATATGAAAAAAAAATATTACTCTTTGTAATTTAGTATTTGGTAAGAAACTGAATTAAGAGTTGGATAGTAGATAACTAATTACATATTAACCACAAAATCATCAATCTTGTTAGTTATTAATATTTTTGTGTTTATTTTGTGGGTAAAATGATAAATTTATAATTTATATGCTTGAATTGGACTATAATACCACCTCCCCATGTGGTATTACAATCGACTCAATAGTACAAATATAATATATTATTTGAAATATAAGACTATATATAATGCAAAATATATTTTTGTAACTAAATGTAATATAAAGTTAGATTGGAGAGTTGTTAGTCTGTTATGATTCTTTAATCTATCAGTTAATACTACAATCAAACGACCCATAAAATGTTATATCACAACCTCAAATTAACATCTGTTTCAAATTTCGTTAAAAAATTATACACATGTTTATCCAAAGATATGAGTAGTGAGTTTATATTTTTGTCTAAGAACGACACACGTAGATGGCATGTGCATTAATTTTTAACGAAATTTGAAACAGATGTTAATCCAAATACTATAATAGAACTAATTTATGATATTTAGGGTACAATATAAAAAAAATAATATTTCAGAACAAAAAGTAAAAACTATGACATCTTTCGAGATACAAAGTGCAAAAAATCCATTTATCATCTATTAAAATCTTCGGACTCGATTATTTATTTATTTTTTGAAAGGGGGAGGGGAGGGGAGGGGGTAGATATTAATAAATATCCTATTTGTTATTTTTACTCTTTAAAATACATCAATCTCTTCCTTTCTGGTTTCTTTTTACGAGCAAAACTAGATTGTTTAATTTAAATAAAATTTTCAAGAAAACACAAATAATTTATAAAAACTGAAGGGTATTATTATCTTTAGTTGTTGCATTTTTCTCCCCAACTATAAAGGTTTATGCATAAATTTTAAGAATATAGAGGGGTAATGTATATTACTAGTTCAAACCATAGATAAATAATTTATGATTTGCCCTTTAAAATTTGTTAGATTTGTTTGTCCGTATCTCGAAAATACAAGACTCACCCACATGATAAATGAACTGTCTTTTTTCTAAGTTAGATGATTAATGATCAAGCATGGGCCAAAATGATCTTTCAAATGCCTTAGCAAATTTTCTCAATTCCCAGCTAATTCCACCGGTGAAATCTCTGTTCGATGAGAGAATATTTAATGTAACAGGGATATCATATCAGTATTGTTGACACGATATATCACTAATTAATAATAAAATTTTAAATTGGTAAAATGGACCTTACTTGGATAGTTACTGATATATATGAAAAAAAAATGGGTAATTGTCTGTTTACATCTACGAGTAGTAATTGATTAGTGTCGGGTCTACTTTATTTATCTACATATTATTTGTTGATGATATTACGTAATAATACTGACGTGATATTACCACTGTAATAAATATTTTTTGGAGAGTGGGCAAAAAATTAGGTACTCACCAGCATTGTAGAGGAAATCCACATGAAATTAGCAAGGCTTTAACGAACATTTTTGTATCATGTTTAGGTTTCAAAACCTGAATTTCAGGTATGTGTTTTTTGCCTAATCGACAAATGGGCTAAGGCAGAAATAAATTTGTATCGTAAAAACAGTCTATACACTGGAAATGTAAGATTAGGTAGATTTATTTTTTTATCAAATCTTGATAAATTAGATATGTTAGTTCAGTTGATACTAGTTTGGATGCTTATCTTATTTTTTTCACCAACCTCAGTTTATGGCACTGTCTCCTACGATTTTAGGCCTTCCGATCTTAAAAATTTAAGAATTCAATAACAGGAGTATCGTGTGCTAAACTGTTTTAAGAGTTTAAGAAGTACTCATCACATGCAATAAGTAAAAATATAAAAAATTCACAAGTCACAACGGATTAGTGTTCTGCGGCCCCAGGTGGAATCTCTCCATCATGAAAGCAAACTAAAATAGCACATGTTTGTCGTGAAAATAAAATAGCACCTGTTTGTGATTATTATCTAATTATAAATATGTCAGCAAATTTTTCAATATTGTATTAAAAAATTATTCTTCAACAATTGATCATTGAAATATAATAAAATAAATACAATAATAAAATAACAAAAAGATAATTCAAGTGTTATCTAATAATTGAATAAAAAAAATATCATAACCATGAGGTATGCACGTGGGGTGCAAATCGAATCAACAACATAAACCAACCATCATCAAGTTGTTTCACAATATATTAATGATATTTAATAAAATTTGAACCATCTAGAAACTCTAATAAATAAAATAATATAATCCTCAAAATAAATGAAAATAGGAGATTAAATATTACATCAAAATATTATAAATCAATTTTAAAAATTTATAAATTTTGATACGGTACTGAATTTTTATCTTATGGCATGCATTGCCAGGAGAGAAGGCACTTAACCCAATTTAGAGGCTCGACGGAATAATTGCAGCCAATTACGTGGCTTATTCAAACTCCACCGTAGCAAGATACTTCAAATTATGCTCCATCTTTTTTATTTAATGGTGGAGGTGTCTGGTTTTATTTTCTACAAATTTTGATTAATTATTTTTTTGATTTAGTTAAAGACAAATCATCTACACTAAAATTAGGATACTCAGGAGAGATAAAACTGTCATGACTTGTCTCAAAAAATTATCAAGATTCAAACTCAAGACATTTAAGTTTACAGTTCGTATCTATTACCACTTAAATTACCCTCGAAGTTGAGTCCCACTTGATATGCATGGTTTGACATTCATTGTGCTTATTTGGAGTTAAAAAAACAACAACAAACTCTTAGACAATTAACTCTTATGCTCTGTTTGGTACGATGAAAAAGTGGGAGAATGAAAAGGTGGAAGGATGAAAAGTTAGAGGGATAAATAAAACATCATATTTGGTAAGGAAGAAAAATAGAAATGATGAAAAAGTGGATGAATTAACTTTCCTTCCAACTCACCAAAATCAATCCCTCAAAAATCGGAAGGAAAGTGGATAGAAAGTTAATTATTTGTATTGAGATGTTTCTTATTTGTCTATATATCTTATATATAC